ATGTATTGTTAATTCTTTCTCTTAGAAGTCTTTTTAACAGTGACCAACGTTAGAGCTCGCCTCGTTGCTACTTGCCGGACCAAGGAGGTAGTTAATGATAAAAGCATTAACTACAGAGATTTAGTGGATGCTATATAAAAGTCTAATGTCAATTGGTACGAGGGTGAAAACTAAGTCATACATTGATATGATGTCTAATCTGGGGTAAAGGTAAGGGTTAGTAAAGAATACATCCGTAGCCGGACCACGGTGCGAGGTGAAATTCCTTACTGGAGGACCAATCACTTAGGGATACCTTACTTACCAACTTTGCATGTAAAACACTAGGAAGGGATTACTATGTTAAGAGTTTGTGAGGAACACATATACCCTAGTTTCTCTCTCATATTGATAACTTAAAGTTTGAATCTTGCTTACTCGTTACTTAATCAACAATATGTTACTTGCTTAAAAAATCCCCCCCCCCTTTATTTACTTGTCTCGGAAATAGTTTGACTAAACAGATATAATAGTGAGTTAAGTTTAAGTCTGAATCATATTCCTCGTGGATCGACCCCAACCTACAAGGTTGGTTCTTTATTTGACAACGATCGTTTGTACTTCTTTAGGGAGGTGTAATTTGAGTGTATTAATAGTTATTAGAGAGAAAGTTTGTCACTTATAGTCTAGCCTACCCACTGTTATTTAGCTATTTGTTAGTAGTTTCAATTACCAATATAGTAAAATTTGCCTATAATCGATCACATCCCAGGAATTCCTCTTTACATTGTTATTTCCTTAGTGTTTGATTTTGTTGTAGTTGATAATTAACAATCCAAACCCCCCTATCAGACATTCGTTGTCACCTCTTTAGATTTGTTTGCATGTTTTCGATAACTTCCCTTCCTATAACCGATTACACCAGGTTTGTACTTCATAACAGAATTTTAAATACGTACCGCTCCCTGTGGGTTCTACCCCAACTTTTAGTTGGGTTTTATACTAGTTAATGATCGTTTACACCTAGAATTGAATGAGGTGTACTTGAGACGTTCAATCAAGTTAGTGGGCCATAACCTATCAAATTAAAGGTCTTCTAATCCTCTTTCCAACGCCACAAATTTCGTGTCAATCCAATTTTTGAGTGAAAAGTTATGACCATTTTAGTAACTTGTGTAGTGCAATTCCGTTTTAGCCACGGAAAAATTCTAAATATGGTGATTTTCATCTCCTTATACCACTAGTAAAACCTTAAAAAAAGAATTTATTAACTCCTATAAAGCCCTAAACAATCCTATTTCCATCTTTTAATCCATCATTCTCTTCTCTCTCAAACCCTAAGACAAAACCCTAAGGAAAAAGGAAAGTAGAAGACTCCATTCAAGATTCTTCCAATCTTTTTCAAGATTCTTCTTCAAGGTAAGTCTTTCTCAAAGAATTCCATTCTTTTAAACTCAAATTTCTCCATACAATTATGAATTACTAATGAAAATCATAATTCTTGGCCATAGAGACTTCATGAAACTAATTCAAGATTCTCAAGAAAGGTTTTCTTGATTCTTCACCTTCAAGCCAGGGTTTCAAGGCTTCTAATCAAGTTGTTATTCAAGATTCATCAAGAACCTTGTTCTTTCCGGTATGTAAGGCTATCATAGTGTTTGACTAGTTTGTCCTCACGCCCTACATCTACTTTCAAATTAGTAAAAGAGTAATCTAGGATTCTACCCCTAGATTTGAATATTCTTGAGATAAGTTGATTTTGAGTTCTTGAATTCCTAATTCTTTTGACATTCTATTCCTAAGTATTGAGCTTCTATATATTTATTTAGATCCTTGAGTTAATTTGTTCATGTCTATAATTCAGCATGAACCCTATTTTGAGTTATAAATCTCGAGAAGTTTTTACGGAGCCAACACTTGAGTTTTAAACTGAGTTTTTGAGGAAGTAAATTTGAGTTTTGAGAAAAAAGTTTAAAGGTTCTATTTCATAAAGACTTGAGAGTTTCTAATGGTATTTTCTTCATATATATACATATACATATGTACCTATGTTAATTATTGGACTCGAATGATAAGTTCATAAGTGCATGTTTTCAAGAAGGTAAACACGTCTCATGTTTTGAAAAGTATTTCAAGTAATGTAAGAAGTCGATTCTTTGTAATGGGTGAATTGAGCACAACTTTATGTTAATTATTTTAGGAGTAGTATCAAGCACCGAGTTGGGTTAGAGTCTTTTATGATTCGGAAGTCCCATAGAACAAAATAGCCAGCGTAGGATAGGATAGCATTGGTTCTTCATGCGACTCCTCACTGCCTCTGAGAAGGACAAATAGTTGGATCCATAGTAACAATATCATCCTATACCCCGACAAAGTATAGGATGGCCCTGGCAACGTGAGACGAAATGTTGTATCATTTCTAGGCTCATGGTAAAGGTTGTAGGTTAGAGAAACTCCCCACAAGTAAAGTATAGTATTTTCATGTTGCTTTCATTGTATATTTTATGGTAATGCTTAAATGGTTTTCACTTCATGTTAATGTATTGATTCAGTTGAGCTGCTTTCAGTCATTCAGTTCAGTTATTTGTTTATTGAGTCATATTACATACTCGTACGTTCTATGTACTGTTGTCATTCGACATGCATCCTTTTATGATGCAGATATAGGTGTTCATGATTATCAACAAGCGCTTCATTGAGATCACTCTACACTCCAGTTATCTTTGGTGAGCCTCCTTGTATTCCAGTGGACTTCACAGTTACTTTCCAGTTAGTAGTTTTGAGCTGTTGTGAGTCTTGTCCCGACATCCTTTATTAATAGTAAAGGCTTCATAGATAGACAGTTTTTGAGAGTCTTTCAGTTTTAGATACTTTATTTAAAACTTATATTTCATACTCAGTATATTCAGCAAAGTTTTGAGATTCACTAAACTGTTTTGAAACGTTTCTTTCAATTTGATGCTTATGTATGCGCAAGTTAGTCTTCCGCTTGTAGTGAGCCAGGATGAGGATTCACTTGGAGACCAACAATAGTTCTTGTGTGCCGATCACGTCCAGGGTGTAGGCTCGGGTTGTGACAATAAATTTATAACTTATGTTGAAAAGAAATTTAAGCTATTTATATTAAATTTTGAAAAAATAAATATTGATCCAAATGGTTGAAAGATGTGATATCTCAAAAAGAAACATTTACATTTAATTATTTTAAATAATTTTGCATTATTTTCGTTCAAAGCATATCCAATTGACTTGATATGAAGAAAAATTGTTGGAATAATGTACTGAAGAAGCACAACAGTCCAAGTGAGGTCTTAATAGGTGCGAATTCAAATTAATTGAACTTTCATGCGGATATTAAACACTAGGTGAATTTTAAAAATAAAATAAAATTGGAGGAACGTATTTATGTATCGTCATTTTTTTTGCACAATATATAATGCATCTTGTAGGATAATAATGGATGGGCATAACATATTACAACAGAAGAAATCAATTATTACTATTGCTATGAAATTATACTTGTAAAACTCCAAATTTAAGGACAATATTTACTACGGTTTCTCAAGTAAATGTATCATTGACTAAAATTCTTATTAATTAAATGGATGTATGTATATATAATGTATTGTTATTTTATAAATAGTGTAAGATTGTATATCTGTATGATGTATAACTACATATTAAATATGTATAAATAATCACAAACACAGTTATAGAATATTTATACATTACAATGCATCTTCCTCATGAGTTGAATTTTTTTCCAATAACAACTAACTCAAATCCCATATTTCTATTCTTTAGATATATAATTCACTCGAAATAATCCAACTGTGACGACGTCAAATTTTATTATTTAAACTTACCCAAATGTCCGGAGAAGATCTGAGTAGACACAAACATAATTAATAAATGATCAAATGGGAATTTTATTGATTACTTAATGACCAGATAGAGATTCTCGGTAATTAACTGAAAATCAGGTTATTTTCTATTACAACATTTGACCAAATGGCCATTCTACTTAATTATTCCAATTTACTATATCTAGTAATAACATATCATTTGAATTAAAATATAAAATAATGAAATTTGAATTGCAATACAATTTTTTTGTTGAAAGATAATAGTTTATTACTTATAAGTTTCACTTGTAAATTGTAAGATCTAGAATAGTCTCTCCACTTAGATTATTCACCTTGGAAGGACAATTAACATACAAATAAAATAATATGACGGTGTTACTTTGTCCTTCTCATATTAGTTATTACACTTTTATCTTTCCATGCCTTCTTTTAAAAAAATCATAAATAAGAAATTTAGTTTTACTAATTTACCCTTTAAGAAACTTGTGCTCGAAACATTATAAACTTGTTTACACTTTCAAAAAGAATTAATTGTTAGAGTAAATGGGGAAAATTTAATTAATTTATCTCAATTATTAATTTAGGACAACTATTTTTAATAATGTGGATAACTATATGGAACCGGGGGACTGGGGGAGTACTACATTAATTAATTATTTTAGTTTTTCGATTACTCTTGTTGAGACTGTAGTCAAACACAACGATATGACTGATCTTCCAGTAGATGATTAAAGCAATAATGAATTCAGAACTTTCCCCGTAACTTTTAATTAAATTCATTATCCTAATAATCAAAGACAATTTATGTAGATTTTGCAAAGCAAATTTATTAAACTTTTAAAAAGGAAAAATAATAAATTTTAATCTATGTAATATTTTACTTTCCATGTTCTTGTTACAATTTTGGAAAGTAATTAAAACCTAATGCACTATAAAGACCAAGCTAGCCTCATGTATTGAAATCATTCATTTATACCTCACTCCATTTTCTTCATCATGTCTTAAGAAAATCTCATAACTCTCAAGAGTAGCGATGGCGAGGAATTCAAACTCAATGAGTCGGTAGGTATGAGGTCACCAGTCATCAAAAATATAGTACAAGACGTGGATTATGCTTCTAACGTCATCCCCCTAACTAATGTTGATGGAAAAACTATGTGTAAAGTGGTTGAATATTTGAAGAAACACTCGGAGGAAGGTGTATGGAAAGAAGTATTCATGGATTTTGACAAGAATTTCTCGAAGGTGGATCAACCAGTTTTGTTTTATCTTCTCTTAGCTGCTGATTTTCATAACGATAAGGAGATGATGGATGTCGTGTGTCAAGAAGTTGCTGATAAAATCAAAGGTGAAACCCGAGAGGAAATACGTAAAAAATTTGGTATCAAGAATGGTTTTACTCCAGAAGAAGAAGAGGAGAACTGTAAAGAGAATGCTTGGGCTTTGAATGCTTTGATAACACTAGTGTTAATTTCAATTGTTGTTCTTTTTTTTTTGAATTTGAACTGTTTAGTTAGCCATATCTTATTTTATTTATTTCTCTCTTCTGTTGTTCTTTTTTATAGAATTGTTGTTTGTTTTTATTGATTTATAAATTTATAAATTATGTTGGAAAGAAACAAAAGTTTTTTACATTAAATTTGAAAAAGAAAACATTCATTCAAATGGTTGAAAGATAAATTTTATATCTGAACAAGAAATAATTTTAATTTTTTTAAAATTAAAATATAAAATATTTATGTTACTAACCCACACATTTGTGGGAGAAAAGTTGGACTGAGATATAAGGATTACTAAACAGAGAACACAAGCCATACGTTCAATTTATTTATTATCACTATGGTTAGTCTTGAAATTGTCGAGGATCTATCAGAAACGTCTCTCTACCCCTCAAAGATAAGGATAAAGTCTACATACATCTTAACCTCTTCAATCCCACTTGTAGAATTAGTATTGTTAGTCTTGAAAATCACATTAAGGAAATAAGCTAGACTCATAATTTCCCACCTATTTAGGGTAAAAAAAAACTAAGTAGAAGCTTAAATATGTGTGTACAACTTTTCAAACACCATGGTTAGATATTACTGAAAAAATAATTTTTCTCCTAATTGAGATTTGGAAGGAAAAAAGAGCCTTTCTTTTCCTAATCTTACTCGGTCACATGCATAGAGTTTAGGTAAATTTTTCAACAATTTTCTAATTTGACATTGTTTATACTGTCACGCCCTGAGCCTGCAACCTGGGGAGGACTGGCACTCGAGAACCATTGTTGGCCCGAAGTGAACCCTTGGCCTAGCTTAACTCATAGCGGAAGACTTAAAGCATTAATATAAGGATTCAATGCATCTTTACGGAACTAGTCTAAAAGATAACTTAGAACGTTTAAAGATAAAACATTTAACTTAGCTAAAATGGCAACTCAAGTCTTAACATAAGAAATAACAATGTAAATACAAATGAATTACTAACTATCTATGAAGCATCTAACAACTGAAATGGATGTCGGGACAAGATCCACGACATCTTAATGAACTAAGTAATCAAAGAAATAAAAAGGGAATCCTCTGGAAAGCAAGGAGGCTCAACAACTGATTCTGAGTGCTCAACTGGATCAACGAGGCGCTGGATGCTGATCCTAGTTACCTGTATCTGCATCATAAAATGATGCAGGCCAAATGGCATGAGTACATTGAATGTACGAGCATGCGAGGGGAAAACTAAACATGACATAAGCTTGAAAGGAATCTGAAAAGTACATTTACCTTAGCTTTACTCAACTCATGGATACTCAACTCAAATGCAAAGTAAAACAACAATAAAGGTGCAGTTTATAGTATTTCAAAGAATAGGTGACAAATCAATATGTTAAAGAAATGCAATAACAGCTCAGTTTACATATACAATAATATAATATTGTGGGAGTTTCTCTTACTGACAACCATCACTATGAGCTAAAGTGATGATACAACCTCTCGCCCACTCTGCCAGAACTGTCCTATACCTTGTTGTGATATAGAATGCCTCAACTAAGTAGATCCACTAGTCTATGCTAAAAATCACTAAGGAATCATCTAAAAGGTATGACCCTTTCTTACCCACGATGGCTACATAGTTTATGGAGACTTGAGTTATTATGAACTTGTCTCCATATCGGTGCTAAATACTACTCCCAAAATATACTCAGCTAATATGTTTTAAAAACAAAAACTCTTTATGTGGTTTGACATAATTACTCAAAACTAGCTCAAAGGCTCTGTTGGAAATCAATGTTTTCTTTCCTGTTTAAATGTGAAAACATTTCAACTCTTGGACTTAGTTCCCGTATATTCTTTTGAAGAAATAAACTTTACTCTTACTCTTTACTCAACTCAAAACTCAGGCCTTAAAACAAAGTTAAAACATTTGTAAGAGACTTTTGGAAAACTCTATGAACTTCTCTTGACTTGACTCTTAACTTTCCTTGAATTGAATTATGGATTCAAGGCTCATGATCTCATTTTGTGGATGATTTCATGATGTTTAGACGTACCTTAGAGTGTAGGAATCAACTAGGAAACATAGGTACGTTACAAGGGAACTAGTACGAAAAGTAAGGGGAAAAATTAGAAGACCTGGCGTCCCTAGTGCTCTGAGTGGCGCGGGGTGCCAAACCCAAAACATCAGAACTGAAGTTGGGGCGTGCTAGCTGGTGTGGCGCCTCAGGGGTAAAACTTCACAACCTAAATTGGGGGTCTCTGGCTGGTGCGGCTTCTTAGACCCCTGCCCAGAAAACCTCGATTTTTCTAGGTCGTTTTTCAACTCCAATGAAGCGACCCTTTTTAAAGAGACTTAACTTATACTTGCGACACTCAAAAGCTATTAACGAGGGCATACTGATTTTACTCTAGTAGAGGGATTAGATGCATAATGACCTCCGAAATGTAATTTAAGCAAATAACTGACGAGCTTTTCATGTATATATAATATCATCACACTCAAGGATGAAATAACAAGAATATTACAAGATTCGGAGTACCGAAATCATCCTGCTCATGCTTCACACAAACATTCGAAAGTAATAGTAGATTTAGGATATTACAAGACTTGAGTTTACACACCCCAAAAAGAACAAAACATATAGCGATATTTATATTACAATTCATGGTGACATGATCAAATCAGGCCTCAAAATCCCATGTAAATATACAACACGTAGAATATGTACAAGTCCCAAGGTTTATACAAAATATAGATGCCGATATGCAAATGTGATCTTCCTTAAGGCTCTCAAAACATCCAACTCCAATGGCCAGCTTCAAGCATCATCTCGAACAACCCCTTCGATAGAAACAACTATCGCTAAGCATATAGCTTAATGGTGTAAAAACTATAGGTTTGGAGCCCTCAAATTCAGCAAGTTATCATTCTCAAGTCAAGGGCAACATAATTGAACATAATAAATAAATCAAGTAAACAATATATAAAGAGTATCAAGTTTTATATTGAAAGATCCAAATGTCAAGAACACTCATAACACAGTTTTCCAAGAGATTCAACAACAAGGCTCTCCCAATAAATACATCATGTGGTCACACCAAGCACAAGCAGCTATCAAGAAGGGTCAAAACCCAATAATCAAGAGAACCAAGAACCATTTTAAAAATGGCTTTCTAGTTCGTACTTAAAATAGACAACTTCCATTCTTAAGACGGACTAAAAATCCAGTGTCAAGATGGTAAATGATCTGAGTCAAGAGTCATGCCAAGAGTGACAAAGTCACAACCACAAGAAGGACAAGCTCCTAACAAGAGTGCCAAGTGATCGAAAAATCCGTACAAGTGTGCAAGTTACACAAGTGTCTTTAATGTATTAAAGAATACCAGTACGACAATGCAAAGTGACAAGAGGTAACCAAGGTACCAAAGTAAGCTTTTAGATATACCAGCAGGTAAAAAGATTACAAGTATAATTTTATACACAAACCTCAGTTCTTTAGCACAAAAACAGTCCAACACAACTTCACGAGTTCAAATCGTAGACCAACCAGCGTATCAAAGTCTTCAACTCGTACACGAGGATATACAACCTTAAAAAATGAATTCAATAACTTATTTACTTTCTAGTAGCTCAATAATGATGGCGTAACACATGATTATCATCAAAAGTAAGCCTAGCCTGTACAAATACGACTATACTCCAAAAACAGAAATTTTGCGCAATAAAAGCACTTCATGTCGCAACTTAGATTTGAGACAGAAAACGGCCAAAATGGAATTTATTTCCTTCATAAAATTTGTAGGAAATATTTTACAAAAAGAAGATTCCTATACCTACATCTCTTAATATTGCAAATAATCAAGAATCACCGCAAAATAGACTTTTTACAAAAAGATATAATCAAAACACTCATAGATGAACATACAGGATTTCAAATTCCAGAATCTGGACAGAACATGTCATATGTTGCGTCCCTTATTTCGTAGTCATAAAAGCTAAATTAGAGCTTACCATAAACAGAAGAGTTGTAGGTATAGGAATCTTCTCTCCAAATCATATTTATTCACCGAAAAAGGAGTTATACAGAACGAGAAATTCTAAAAGTACTAAACACTACTCAGCTAAAAAAACAAGTTATGATAACTCACCAAAAGGTAGGATGTCTCGACTTCCAGCTAAAA